GCACACAGTGGTAGTTTGTTAATTCTTTGGGTTATAATGCAGAGGTGAGTCAACTGTTGCCTATGGGTAGAATATGAACCAGTGCCTATTTTTCTAAATAGTTTTATTTAAACACTCACCCTCAGCAGTTCATTATTGATGAATTTATCATTCATACTGATGGCCCAAAGGATGCCTAAAAGATTGTTTACCATGCTGAGGCACATAGGCCCTCAGAGCTCACCTCAGCTTTGATTCTGCCCAATGCATATTTGTTACATTGTGACATCAGTAACTGAGGGGGGTGGGGATGGAAATGTCCAAGACCAGCATTCTCCATGTTACTGAAGTTATGCTGTTACAGGTTCACACCAGTCATTTCTCTTTCTCATGTTAAGGAGATTGTTTTTGCTAAATACACAGAAATAGCTGTAGAACATCCAAACAATGAGAGGCATGGAAATTCAAATATTTCACTTCAAAAATCAATTAGATAGGGGAAAGATAATAATTAAGGATACAACGCACAGTTTGTATTATGCATACAAACAATAAGTGTTGGTGAAGATGTGGGAAAAAAGGTACACCCATACACTGCTGGTGGGACTGCAAATTGGTGCAGCCAATACAGAAAGTAGTATGGAGATTTCTTGGAAAATTGGGAATGGAACCACGATTTGATCCAGCTGTCCCTCTCTTTGGTCTATACCCCCAAAACATAAAAACATCATACTACAGGGACAAAGCCACATCAATGTTTATAGCAGCACAATTCACAATAGCTAAACTGTGGAACCAACCTAGATGCCCTTCAATAGATGAATGGATTAAAAAAAGTGGCATATATACACAATGGAATATTACTCAGCAATAAAATAGAATAAAATCATGGCATTTGCAGGTAAATGGATGAAGTTAGAGAAGATAATGCTAAGTTAGCCAATCCCAAAAACCAAATGTGAAATGTTTTCTTTAATATAAGGAGGCTGATTCATAGTGGGATAGGGAACAGGAGCATGGGAGACATGATGAACTCTAGATAGGGCAGAGGGTGTTGGAGGGGAAGGGAAAGGGTATGGGGTAATCATAAGGTAATTAATGATGGTGGAATGTGGTAATCATTACTATCCAAAATACATGAAGGCAGGAATTGGCGTGAATATACTTTGTAAACAACGAGAGATATGAAAAATTGTGCTCTATATATGTAATAAAAATTGTAATGTGCTCTGCTGTCATAAATTAAAAAAATTTACATAAAAAATAAGGTCAAAAGTGCCATTGAATGAGCAGCCTGCCTGCTCTCCTTATAAGGACTCAAGTCATACAGAACTAAGAGCTTGACCTACTCCCTTATGACACCATCTTTGGTAATTACATCATAATTCAGTCATTTGTTATGGGGAGCTGTGATTGCTAGGTGTGGGATTAGAACCTAAGCAAATGCTTTGGAAGATATAATTTAACCCATAATACTCTCTAATCCTACTTTTCTCAGAATTTTTATCCATTGGTATTGACTGTGATATTTCTACATCAATCCATGCAATCATACAACTTTGTGGGCTTGTCGTGAAATACATATCCTTGGTGGGTATGGTCATATCCTTGATGGGTATGGTCTTGTAAATTCCTTCTGCCCAATGACCCAATGATCTTTCACTTAGTCCACCTTTAGACTTCCTTGATCCATAAGTTACATAGAAGTGTGCTTATTTTCCAAAGTTTTGGAGATGTTCTCTCATCTTACTATTTTCTAGTTTGAGTCCTTTGTGATGAAAGAACACACCAAGTATAGTTTTAATTCTTTTCAATTGGATAACTTCCAATGAAGAAAGATTCTGAAAAAAAAATCTGGAAAATGAAAACTAAATAAACAAACTGGATTAAGAATTCAGTGGAAAAATGTTACCAATAGATTAAACCAGTGTGGTCTAAACAACAAAGTACATAATCTTGAAAATAGAGTCAAAATAAAGATGCAAAGAGACCATTACCAGAATGTCCCAGAAATCAGAGACAGTTTGCAGGTAACAAATTTAAGAATCATTGTGGTTGAAGGCTCCTGAATTGTGAACTAAAGAAATGCACAATCTTCTCAATATTAGAAAACTTTCTAAATCTTAGGAACAAGATGAAATCCATACTCAAGACACATATAGAATTCCAAATAGGCACAAGCAAAAATCATTCTCTCCAAGACACATTATAATGAAAATGTCTAACACACAGAAGAAGCTTAGAGTAACAGCCACAAGAAAAATACAGCAGGTCACATTCAGAGGTAAACCCATTTGGATTTCAACTGATTTCTCAACATAAACCCTAAAAGTTGGGAGGGCATGGAAAGATACATGCTAAGTCTTGGGAAAAAAAAAAAAAAAAAAACAGCTTCCAAACAGGATTAGTATAACCAGCAAAATTATCCTTCGTAATAAGCAGAAACCAAAATAATTTGTAACCATGTAGTCTGCACTGCCAAATGTCCTCGATGGAATATTTCATGCAGAGAAAATACATAAAAATGAAAGAGATGAATACAATAGAATATCCATTAAAGGATAACCAAGTATGAATTTAGCATTAGAAATAAATTGAAATGGCAGGAAATAAAAATCAATTGGCAGTTTGGATTAAAAAAACAATACAAAGCAACATGTTGCCTACAAGACACTTAGCAAAGTGTTGCTTAAAAGACAACTTAGAGACAGAGACATGCATGAAAATGGGAAAACCAAGGAAGCAAGGGTAGCTCCTCTCATGTCAAAGTAGACTTCAAGTCAAAATTAATTAGAGGGGACAAAGAAGATCCCTTCATACTGACAAGGGGAAAATCCAGCAACAAGATATACTGATTATAAATATTTATGCTCCAAACAACTGTGCTTCTGCATACAGAAAGCAAACTTTTATCAATATAAAGAAGGAAATAGATCAAAATACAAAAAAATACTGGGCGATTTAAACACAGCTCTCTAACCATTAGATATGCCATCCAGATATAAATAAAGATTATTTAGAACTAAAAATATTTCAAAAACAATGAATCAAATGGATCTTAAAGACATCAATAAAATATTTCATTCATTGACAAAGCAATTCACTTTTTAATCACATCTGTTTGAATATTCATATTTTAGGACATGGAGCAAATGTTAGGAAACACAATGACAGAGTACTCCTTGCATAGGTAATAATGGATGAAATATAATAAAGGAATAATAATAAATTCCAGCACTACGGTTGAAGATTAAATGCTACACTTTTATAAGAGAAATGAATTTAGAAAAGAAACCTTAGAAAGAAATCAGAATAGAGATATTACAAAAATCTATGTGACAGTGTGAAGACAAATTATAATTTTTTAAAAAAATATAGAAACCTATTGCTAAAAATTTAAGTTGTCTTCACACTGTCACATAGATTTTTGTTCACTTTTTTATATTTTTTAAAAAATTATAATATACCAAAAATACCATATAGCTAACTAATGTTACACCTCAAGGTCATAGAGAAAAAAATCCAAATATCAGTTGAAGACATGCAGAAATCAATAAATGTAACAAACCACATAATTAGAATTCAGGACAAGAATCACAGGATTACACTGATAGATGCAGAAGATGCATTTGCCAAAGGCCACTACCCATTCATTTTTATAACAAGAGAACCTAAGGACAGAAGGAACTTCCCTCAACATCTTACAGCCTGTATATGACAAACCAAAGGCCAACATCATTCTGAATGGAGAAAAACTGAAAACATTTCCTCTAAAACCAGGAATAAGGAAAACGTGTCCACTCTCCCCACTATGATTCAACACAGACCATTAACTGTATCCAAAGCAATTAGGGAAGAGAAAGAAATTACCAAATTAGCAGGATAGAAGATCAACACATATAAAACAGTCAATTTCCTTTACTCCAATAATGAATCTGCTGCAAAGGAAATTAGGAAAATTCTCCTATGTTCCATAACTTCAAAAAAAAATTAGAAATGTAACCAAGGAGGTGACAGACCTCTACACTGAAGTCTACACAAGGATGACATAGTTTTTAACATAGTATACATTTCTGACCACAAAGGGCAAGAGCAGGAAGCTGGTGTCAGAGCAGCTCCTGGTGCCAGCCCAGTGGACATGTCAGAGAAACAAAGTGCCCAAGCCATCACCTTTGACAAGCCTGACCATTTCTTAGCTTTACAAGACTATTAATAGAATCCAAGGTAAGAGTAAATCCATGTGGGTGCACCTTGCCTTAATGGATAATTGTATCCATAAGATGAACTGACCCTCTAGTCCTGAAATCCTGAGTATTCCCTGTCCCATATCTTTAGCAACAGTCATGACAATTTTGAGGAGGATGCATGGCAGGTGCTGAGGCACCCAGCCACTGCTGCACTAGCCAACTCTTCCTTCCCTACACACAGTATCATTAAGATGATGCCCTAGAACACTGAGGTCTTCCATGCCTTCTTAGTCTTCCGTGCCTTCCATGCCACCCACCCTGCCCACACCTCAGGGAGGTATACTCCTCCTGACCATGGTCACCAGCTAAAGGTCATGTCTACAATGGCTCAATGGGAGAGACTCCATGCACACTGGATCAACAGAAGCCAGTCTGTACTAGGTGAAAGCAAGTGAATGTTCTACACTGGCTCAAGACAAGTGAGTCCCCATCTATTCTAAGGGCAAGGGAGTCTACACTGGAGAGGGAGGCACAGTGGTCCAGGCCTGGGAGACGATGGCTGGTGGGACCTGACCCACCCTGAGGACCCTCCTTTTCTTTGAATCAGAGCACTTTATAAAATTTTGCAACAAAAATTTTATTATACAATTTGTCCAAAATCAATGTATCAAAAAACATGTCAGAGGAATGGGAGAAGGGAAAGGGGCAGGGCAGGGTGAAGTGTCCCAGGCAGAACAGTCTCTGGTGTCTTCGGCAGGTGGGGGCAGAGGAATCGCAGGCTGTCCATTGGTCCTGTCTGGCTCAGCTCTCCACTTCCTTGCAGCCACAAAAGGTCTACTGATCCGGCTCTGGCTCACTTCTCCTGAGAACCCTTGGAAACACTCTATTGTGGACACGTGGCATGCAACAGCACAGTCTTTGGACACAGTTAGCGATCCTCCTAGTCCAGCTCTTCCTGGGTTCTCGGGGTTGCTCTGGCGATTCATCTAGGAAGGAACTGATGCTGACTGTCTCTACTAACCTGAGCAGGCGCTTCCAGCGGTTGGGCAAGTAGGACACCGAGTGAGACTGGGAGGCTTCGTCAGGAGGCGGGGCCTCAGCAGGCTGGAATTTGAGAGGAAGAGCAGGCAGGCTGGCCCTTCTGATGCCCACCTGCCCTGGCTGTTTGGCTGCCTCAGGCAGCTGGTGCTTATGGGACAAGGGCAAGGCTTGAAGTGCAGGCTCACTCGTGCTCCTCCTTGGGAGCACAGGGCCACGGGAAAGACCAGCAGGACAAGAGGAAAGCCTAACCCTGCGAGGCACAGGCTTCCCTGGGAACATGCACTCTACCCCCTGGCTTTTCTGGTGCTGCAGAATCAAGTAGTTGGCCATCCTTGCATCAAACTTTCTCTTGGCCAGAGATACCCAGGTTTGGTATGGATCGAGACCATTGTCAACCAGGAGCGCCATTATTTGGGGGTCTGGGTGTTTGGGAAGAGCCTCACTATGCTGTTGGGGTACACACTCCCCATCCTGCTTCAGCCATGGGTGCCGAGAGATTTGCTTGACTGTGGGCCGCTTGGGGGGCTTCACAGTCAGTATGCTGTGGATGAGCCTTTGGGCTGTGACAGGCACTGAGTCAGGGACATTGTACCTTGTGTGAGTGATCCGCATCAGCAGGTCCTCAGAGGAGGTGGAGTCAAATGGGAGGCTCTGTGTCAACATAAAATACAAGATGACCCCCAGGCTCCAGACGTCCACCGGGGGTCCCTCATACTCTTGCCGCAAGACACTTTCAGGGGCAAGGTATGGTAGTGTGCCCCAGAACCGCCTAAGCTTCTCCCCAGCCCTGAACCACGTGGCCGCACCAAAGTCGATCAGCTTGACATTGCCTCTGGTATCCAGCATGATGTTCTCTGGCTTCAGGTCTCGGTGCACGATGCCCTTGTCATGGCAGTAGCCCACGGCACACACGATCTGCCTGAAAACCCTCCGGACCTCCTCCACCTGCATGCCACGTCTGATGTGCTCAAGCAGTCGTCCCCCACCTACGTGCTCCATCACCATGTAGATGGTGCTCTCGGTGCCAATCACGTGAAACAGCTGGACCACGTTGGGGTGCTCCAGACTCATCATTATCTTGGGTTCGTTGAAGGCCGGAATGTTCTCCACTTCCAGCGCCATGGTTTTCACTGCCACCTGTGCCCCTGAGAGGCGATGGAGGGCTAGGCTCACCTGGCCATACCCACCACGCCCGATGACCTTCATGAACTCATAGTGCTCCATGAAGGCTGACATGCTGCGGGAGCCTGGCACCTGCAGTGCTGCTACACTACTCTCACTACTCTCTCTACTCAGGCTAAACATCCTAAGCAGGAACACTAACTAAGGATGCTACCTTAAAAAAAAAAAAATAACAAGCCAAAACAACAAAGCAAAACCAAAAACCAAAAACAAAGCAAAATAACAAACCCAAATCAAAAAACCAAAAGCCAAAGACCGCAGCACCACCAACCACCAACCACCAACCACCAATCACCAAATACCAACCACCAACCACCAAATGCACTAACTCTCTGGGAGTCTGTCCGACAGGTCACCACCAAGAGCTTCCTGTACTTGTGGACAAAAACCCAGCCCTGGCCACTTTCTTATATACCCGCTGTTTGAAGCTTCCTCACAATGGCTCCTTGTGAGGTCAGAGCAAGAAAAGGACCAATCATGCCTGGCCTAAACCCTCAGTGGTCATCTCCCTTTGGGGCCTCCAGAACTGTTTCCATGTCACAACAAGAATACAAATGGACTCCAGACATTTTTTTTTTTTTGCTTCCATTGGTTATGGAGACTAATATTTACTTGTTTACAAATTAAAAGGACTTGTCATTTCAATTCTAAACATTTCTAATAATTCTGGGCTTCTGAAGTCCTTATCATATCATACTCAAGGTATTCAATTTCTTTTTCTTCCAAATCATTGGTGTCAAAATATAGTAGCACTTGGCTCCCATTGTGATACTGAAACAACATGATCTGTTTCCTAAGCACAGTCTTAACACCTATGGGGCTAAGAGGGAAGAAGGCTTCATCCTAATTGCCCCATACAGTCCTACCAGGGAATTCTCATTGGAAACTCTGGTTATTCAAAAAAGAGTGGGTTGATATATTCAAAGTGATAAAAAACAAAATGTGGACGCCAAGAATCCTAGAACCGGCAAAAGTGTCCTTCCCACAGAGAGAAGAAATGGAGGTCTTCCCAGATGAACGAGTCTCTTCCTGCTGCTGTAACAAAATACCTTGGAATGGGTAATTTATTGGTAGTATTTCACTTCTCCCAGTTCAAGGTCAGAACATTTTGTGGCCATATCCTCACATGATGAAAGGGGAAGAAGTTTTGAACTCAATCCCTCAAGCACTTATTATTATTATTATTATTTTGGCTGAGGGGACATACTGGTGATTGAGGGTCTCAAACGTATCAGTCAAATTCTCTAACACTGAGGTACATCCCCATCCACTTATTTATTTATATATTTATTTTGAGACAAAATTTTGCTAAGTTGCTCAGGCTGGGCTTGAATGTGTGATCGTTCAGCCTCAGTAAACACAGTACATAGGCTTACAGTCTGTTATACTTTGGACATAAGTCCCCCCACCCCCACACTCCTATATTCATGCAGAAACAGTGCTAAAATTATTGGAATGTGGAACCTGTAATCTAACTAGACCGTCCAAGTTTCAGTTCAGTTTGTAACTGTAGGCAGGTGGGGTGCAGCTGGAGGAGCTAGGTCACTGTGGTCATGCCAGGAAAGCTCTTACTTTTCTGTGATCCCTTCCTGTCTCTCTGCTTCCTCACTGCAATGAGAGGAACAGCTTTCCTCCACTGGGCCTTTCCCTCATAGTGTACTGACTCACCTTGGACCCAGAGAATTGGAGTTGGCCATCTATAGACTGAGCCCTTGGGATCATGTGCCCATCCTCTAGTTTGTTTTTTATCAGAGGCTTTGGTTAGAATGAAATCTCACTGTTGAGAGTACATCTATTTTTAGTGTGGAAATATTTGAAGTATAGAAATATGAAGGTTTGATTTAAAAAAAAGCTAACAGAATCAGACATTTGTGTAGTGAGAAGTGGGGACGTTCCTCTGAATAAACTGATTGTGTGGGTCAGAAACCTTTGACCCACAAAGACTTTGTTAAGACTTTGTAATAGTGAGCTGGGAAAGCTTTAGATTATTGTAAGAAGAGTTGAACAGGGACTCTGGTGTTCAGATGACCAGAATACCAACAGAAATGCAGACCTGGCTCATGAGCTTTCAGAAGGAAATAAGGACCCTATTAGAAGTTGGACTATAGACTACTTGTGTTATAATCTGGCAAAAAAATTGATTATTTATCTAATTTCTTTCTTCCTTAAAATCTCTACTCAAATGTTTTTTTCTCTACACAAGTGACCTTATTTAGTATTTCAGTAAACCCTATCCCATCCCATTATTCAATAATTTTCTACTTCATTCTACTTGTGCTGCTTCTTCCATGTATGTTGTCACAAAAATGTAGTGGTAACATAGAAATATTGTCATGATATAATGTATCACTTTTAAGTTAGTTCTTGCTCTTCCTCTTCTACTAGAATATAAACAAATCTCTGTTGTACAGCCCATTATAGGCATCCAAGAAAAAAAAAATTGTTGAATGAGTGAATGAATGAAAGTTTAAACAGGTGTTATATTCCAAGAAATAAAATAAAAAGTATACAGACATACAAATAAACGATTTGAAACCTAAATTACAAAGTTTTAACTTAGCCATGTTTTGATCCCCCTTTTTCCATTCCAAGAAATAAGTGTTTGATTTTACACAGAATATGATTTTGTCATATGAAGGACATTACATTTTGAAAGGATGTTTATATAAAGAAACCAGAGATCTGATGCTTCATTCAAATTGATGGAGAAAAAAAGAATAGCTTTAAAAAATTTTACAAGAAAAATATCTTTTAAATAATCTCATAGAGTCACTGAAAGTAAATGAACCAAATGCAAAGAGACAATATCCTGATCAGAAAGCTATATATAATGGAAAGATGAGGTATGGCAGTGGCAGTGAACGAATTAGACTTTAAGTGTTAAATTGGGCTTAAGAAGTGAGACTTACAAAATATAAACTAAAACAAATGAGGAAAAATACACATCAAGTAATTGTATCTTTCTTTATAGTATTTTTTTAATGTTTGTATTTGTTCTTTATAGATATACGTGACAGTAGAGTACTTTGATATATTATACATACACAGAATATAAGTTATTCTAGTTTGGATCCCATTCTTGCAGTTGTACATGATGTGAAGTGACACTGGTCATGTATTTATGTATGAACATAAGTAAGTTATGTCAATTCATTGTACTGTCTTTCCTATTCCTATCCCCACTCATTTTCTTCCCTCCCATTTGTCTAATTCAATGAACTTCTATTCTTCCCCTACCCACCATCCCTTGTTGTGAGTTAGCATCCAAACATCAGAGAGAACATTTGGCCTTTGGATTTTTGGGATAGGCTTATTTCACTTAGCTTGATATCTGCAGTTCCATCCATTTACTAGCAAATGCTATAATTTCATTCTTCTTTATGGCTGAATATTATTTCATTATTTATATATACCACATTTTCTTTAGCCATTCATCTGTTGAAGGGCACCTAGCTGGGCTCAGTAGCATGTTTATTGTTAGGTGAGCTCCATAAACATTGGTGTGGCTGCATCACTATGGTATGCTGATTTTAAGTCACCTTAATATGTACTGAGTAGTGGGATAACTGGGTCAAGTGGTGGTTCCATTCCAAGATTTCTCAGGAATCTCCATTTTGCTTTTTCTAATGTTACCCCAATTTGCAGTCCCAGCAGCAATGTATAAGTGAAACTTTTTTTTTCCTCATCCTCTCCCACATTTATTGTTACTTATATTCTTCTTCATTGCCATTCTGACTGGAGTGAGATGGAATCTCCATGTGGTTTTGATTTGCATATCCCTAATGGCTAGAGATGCTGAATATTTTTTTCATATATTTCTTCACCAATCATTTCTTCAGTGAAGTGCTTGTTCAGTTACTTTGCTCATTTATTCATTGGGTGATTTGTTTTCTTGGTGTTAAGTTCTTTTTTTTTTTAATTCTTTGTATATCCTGAAGATTAGTGTTCTATCTGAGGTGCAGGTTGCAAAGATTTTCTTTCATTCTGTAGGCTTTCTGTTCATGTTCTTGATTGTTTCCTTTGAGGTGAAGAAGCTTTTTAGTTTGATATTATCCCATTTATTTATTCTAGTATCATTTTTAAGTAAGAAAATTCCCAATTAAGAGACAAATATTAAATGTTGGATATAAGATTATTGGTTGGCATCCATTATCTTTTAGTGCTTGGTATATGTTGTTCCAGGATCTCTCCTGGCTTTGAGAGTCTGTGTTGAAAAATCTGCTGAGATCTGAATTGGTCTTTCCTTATAGGTAATCTGATTTTTCTCTCCTGTGGCCTTTAAAATTGTATCCTCAATCTGTATGCTAGGTTTGTTCATTATAATGTGACTTGGTGTATATCTGTTGTAAATTTGTACCTTTGGTGTCCTATAGGCTCTTTTTTTATTATGCTGACATCTTTTTAAAATACCTTTATTTTATTTATTTTTATGTGGTGATGAGGATAAAACCCAGGGCCTCACACATGCTAGATGAGCACTCTACCACTGAGTCACAACCCCGACCCCTTCTACAGGCCTCTTGTATTTGATTCTCCAATTCTTTCTTCATGCTTGGGAAATTTTCTCATATTATTTCTTTGAAGAGATTGTGCATTCCCTTGGTTTGAATCTCTGAACCTTCCTCTATCCCAATAAATCTTAAATTTGGTCTTTGGATGGTATCCCATAATTCTTAGATATTCTGTTCATACTTTCTTACCATCTTCACTGTGAGATCAACTTTATTTTCAAGATTGTATATTTTGTCTTTATTGTCTCGGGTCCTGTCTTCCACATAATCTAGTCTGTGGGTGATGCTATCTATTGAGTTTTTTAATTGGCTTATTGTTTCTTTCATTTCAGTAATTTCTGTTTGTTTGTTTTCAATATCTCTGTCCTTTTCTGAAATAAATCCTTTGCAACCTGTATTTGCTCACTTATCTCTTTGTTGTTATGATCAATGGTCTCCTGTATTTGTTCTCTTATCTCTTTGTTAGAGTAACCAATTTTTGCCTGCATATGCTCTCTTACATCATTCTTTAATTTTTAAATCATTTTACTTATGTATATTCTG